GTAGACCTGTGAAAGGATTATTGATATCTTAGATACTGTTGCCATGGCAACGCATCAAACTTTAATATTCTTTTTGGATGCTTTTGAGACTCTTAGTATGCCTGAAATTGCTTGAAATTGCATGAAACTCGACAGACAGATCACATGTATTAGCCAGTAGACATGTGCAAAGTTTCAGAAACGGGCGTGGTGCAGGGACTCAGTAGTGCCACCTTTTGACAAAAGTGGGGGGGTTAGTTTTAAAGTTTTACTTACAATCATAAAAATCGGTACGTATATTGTTCAGATCAAGCCGAACAACTTTCTAATTTACAGTCATTAGCTCCGACCAACAGGAAGTCAGATATTTTAGTTTGAATGTGGATGTTTTCGAGCATTTTCTCTCCCTGTTCCTCTGACAGAGAGAATGCACCCTGCCATTCTGTTTGTGTGTGTGTGTGTGTGTGTGTGTGTGTGTGTGTGTCTGTGTGGGGAGGGGGGGAGGGGCTCTTCGAGTGATAGTTTAGTTTAAACACCAACTCATACATAGGGCCATATTGCCCTCTTGTGTCCAAAATTATATTTATATATACATATATTTGGTATGTGACTGAGGACCGAGAGCTTTTAAATACGGACGTCCACATGGACATTGATAATGGTGGGGCTTGCAGAGCGCTCGAGGGAATTCCTATGGAAGTAGGAATGAACTAACAAACGTTCGCTCTGTTCTGCTCGCTCATCGCCGTGGACGCGCACCGTTATGAATGCCCGTGCAGCCGTTCGTTTCATTTCAAAATTAGCGCCTTTTCTGGGGCCGATTGCTTGAATTGTGAGTTCAATAGCCTATTATTCTTCATGGAAAACACTTCAACAAAAGAGTATAATGATTCTATTCGTGTTTGGTGTGAACGCAGCATAATGAACAGCCTGCGATGTCAAGATTGCAATGCTGGAGTGTGTGTGTGTGTGCGCGCGAGAGAGAGAGGGGGAGGGGGAGGGGCGCGGGCGCGATCGAACTGTGTGTGTGAGTGTGTGAGTGAGTGAGAGAGTGAGAGAGTGAGAGAGTGAGAGAGTGAGAGAGTGAGAGAGAGAGGGGGGGGGGCGCGGGCACGATCGAACTGTGTGTGTGTGAGTCAGTGAGAGGGAGAGAGAGAAAGAGGGGGCGCGGGCGCGATCGAACTGTGTGTGTGTGTGTATGTGTGTGTGTGAGTGAGTGAGAGAGAGAGAGAGAGAGAGAGAGAGAGAGAGAGAGAGAGAGAGAGGGGGCGTGGGCGCGATCGAACTGTGTGTGTGTTATGAATGCCCGTGCAGCCGTTAGTTTCGTTTAAAAAATAGCGCCTTTTCTGGGGCCGATTGCTTGAATTGTGAGTTCAATAGCCTATTATTCATGGAAAACACTTCAACAAAAGAGTATAATGACAGATTGGCTTAAATAGGCGCTTTTACACAAAATATTCCTTCATCATCTATTCAGTCTAAATAGCGATAAATTTCGCTCTATTCACGTTTGGTGTGAACGCAGCATAATGAACAGGCTGTGATGTCAAGATTGCAATGCTGGAGTGTGTGTGTGTGTGTGTGTGTGTGTGTGTGTGTGTGTGTGTGTGTGTGTGTGTGTGCGCGCGCGAGAGAGAGAGAGACAGAGGCGCGGGCGCGATCGAACTGTGTGTGTGTGTGTGTGTGTGTGAGAGAGAGAGAGTGAGAGATAGAGAGAGATCTTTTGCTTTTAAACTGTGTGTGTGTGTGTGTGTGTGTGTGTCTGTCTGTGTCGTATATATATATATTTTTTTTTCTCTCCAAAATATTCATATAACCCATATCTTTAAAGTGTATTGTTTGCTTTAAATTAAAATAAGATTGTATGTTTGGTAATTGAACCTAAATGAATTTAAAATTAATGTGCTATATTTGAGATCAATACAATCAATGTTTTCCTTCATTTTAATCAACACTAACTTTATTCTCATCTGAATTATAAATAATTTATTTCTGTATAAAATAAAAAATCCCAAATAATCCAGACCAACTAGAGTGCACTTTTCCTACAACATCATCAGTGCTGAAGCAGAACTACCAGAGCCGTTCAGCAGATTTTCAGTCTTGTGTGCTTATTTCATGTGTCCGTTAAATCCATGAGACCGTCTGTAGGGTGTCTCATTTTTCATTTTAGGTTTCAGAAGGTTGCTCATGCATACTTTGTGGTTGATGAGTGCCCTCGATGAGCACTTTTGCAGAGTCCACACTGATGCAAGCTCTACAGCACACTTCTTTTCGACAGTCAAAGCAGGGTTACGTTTTTGCACGACGTGCACAATAACCCTAAAGGCACCGGGGTGGCGGTGCCGCCGGCTTCTTTTTTATATATATATATATATATATATATATATATATATATATATATATATATATATATATAGCTGCGAGCAGCGATGAAGGGCCAAAGCCTCCGGCACCGCCACCCCGGTGCCTTTAGGTAACTAAAGGCACCGGGGTTGCGGTGCCACTGGCTTGGGCCCGTAATCGCTGCTCGCAGCTATATTTATATATATTTGTTATTTATTATTTCAAATCTGTATTTATCTCTACATGACAAACGGTTACCCCACATGCTGTCTACTCACCATTTCCTGTTCCTGTGACTCCTCAAAGGAGGGGTCGCGATCACAGCTTCCCTTTTTCTTGTGTTGGGTTAAACCATTCCTATTAATGGGGAGGGGAACTTAACCCTTGGTGATGTAGGTATGGATAAATATCTTATGGTGTTTACATTTAGTTTAAGTTGCTGAATGAGTTTATTTTATTATATTTGGGAGTTCAATGGTCCTATATTTAGGCTACGAAGTTTTGATGTTGATACCCCTGCAGTTGGTACGGTCTTGGGTGTAATGAGCCTGTCCTAGGCTATATAAGACAGTCTAAACTGGACCTTGGGAGGAAAAGGTGGGGTTATATAGCTGAATGTATTCATGAAGATTTTGCTGCCTATAGCAATTTGTTTTCCTTTGGGTTGTTGATACCTCAAAGTTAGCACTGAGTCTAGTGTATATTTATTTTTGTAAATATATTTATTTTTGGTTTAATTTTGTAATATTTTTTCTTTTTGACATCATTGTGAATTTGTACACCCCCTACTTCTCCACTGGCATTTAATAAAAATCCTCTTTGGATGATACCTGAGTCCTGAGCCTATCTACCACCTCCCCTTGATCTCTACGGGACACGTTATGACATAATTAATAAATAATTATCAAATAATTATCCAGGAATTAGGCTACTTATAACCTGAAACAGTATTCTAAAGTGAAAATATTGGGAACTTATTAGTAATTAATAAAGAATTACTAGATAATTCTTCAGGAATTACTTAGAACCTGAAACAGTATTCTAAAGTGAAAATATAGGGAACCCATTAATAATTAATGAAGAATTATCAAAAAGTGAAAATATAGGGAACTTATTAGTAATGAATAAAGAATTATTAGATAATTCTTCAGGAATTACTTATAACCTAAAACAGTATTCTAAATTGAAAATATAGGGAACCCATTAAAGAATTACCACATACTTCTGACTCAAATGAAACTTACTGTAAAAAAACCCCACTATTAACGTAATCATCTAAACCTTTGTAAAATACACTACATTGACTCGTTAAAGCTACATGATATCTTCCTTTATTTCAGATGATATTTTGTTTTAACATGTATACTGCCTACATTTGAACTCGTTTAACAAACATTTTCAAATCAAAAGTTAAACCTTTAAAAGTAATTCAAGTAATCAACTGGTCTCGTTTCCACGGTAGTGGTGCTGGATCTCCTGCGGGAGCTGGGCTCGTATTCAGCAGGGAAACTGCTTAACTTCAGACCGCTGCCCTGCGTTTCACTCATAGCCGAAATATGCTGTGACTGACTCCATAACCTGCCCATAAACAAACAGTGCACAGCTCTAAGAACATATTTTAACATCTGATGTAAATAGATTTACTATCTTTATGAATAAAATAATTTGTTTTATGCAAGGGATCAGGCGTTTCCATCACGCAAAAAAGACCGACTCAGCTGGGTAGGCTAACTGACATCGCGTCCTTGTATGTTGCCTTGCATAAAATAAAATGATTTACAGCACAGTAATGATTTTAAAGATTAAATAAAACGTACACAAACCTTTATTTCGCAGAAAAAAAAGTACCAAATCGGCGGCGCTGAGAACTCTCCAGAAGAGGATGCAAATGCCCGCGCTCTTGCATCACCAAATCACTGTAAAATGTATGGCTATCGCGATATTGCCGGAACTTGAATGGTGCAAAATAAGTTTAAAATGTATAAGAACTAAGTATAATAATATGCTTTTTACTTTTTAAGTACTTTAAAAATGAATTACCTTTGTACTTTTACTAAGGTAATTTTGAAAATGGCCTAATTATAATTTTATTGGAGTAATATTTTATTGGGGTATCTGTACTTTTACTCAAGCACTTGATTTGTGTACTTCTTCCACCACTACAATGCTAAAAAAAAAACTGGATTATTGTAGTGACTACGGTGTATGACTGTTCATTAGTAGTTACTTCATAGTTATTTTTCTTGAACCTTAATTATAACCATTATATTTAATTTCTCTCTGTATGTTTACAGCATTCTCTCTGTATGTTTTTTTTTTAGATACCCCCAATCCATCTGTTTCTCTTGTGTAATTAAAATATCGTGATAATACAGTATACCGTGATAAAAGTTCAATCAATTAATCGTAGCATGAAAATTTGATACCGGCACATGCCTACTATCTATGCAGGATAGTGACCCTCCCGGAGCAGGTTTGGACACCACAAGCTTAAATTTATGTATCATTTTGAAGTACAAATTCATAATCAATCATAGCAGAGAGAGAGAGAAAAAAATTCCATATCATCCCATTACATCCCATCTGGCAACCTGCAGGTGGATGAGTTTCAACATATATTGAGAAAGGCTTTCAGAAAGATCTCTGTTTTTTTATCTTTATATTACATGGCTCACCTCTGTGGTAGCAGCCTGTCATTGGTGAGATAACCGGGCTTGTGGATGTCTCTGTTGTAGTCTGCGTACTTGGCCTGAACAGAGTAAGATGCCAGTAGGACTGCTGTCTCCGGAGGGCAGTAAATCTCATCATTCAAAATGGCTTCCTTTACCTAGGCAGCACAAACCAAAAACAAAAGTACCATCATGTTTGATCTGGACCTATTTCTTCATATGTGGTTTTGTGTGAGTTATCTGGATGGAACTGATAATTTAACATAATCCTGGATTGTTCCATTCCTTAAAATTCATCTCAGAATTGTTGTCATAGCAGCTCAATATGCTAAGGAACAGGATTATTTAATGTGTCCTCCCAGTGCTCCATAACTACTACTTGTTTGGCGTGTTAAAGGGGTCATGAACTGGCTTTTAAAAAAAATGTATATTGTTGTCTGAGGCCAACTTATGACTTTCGCTTGGTTTTTACATTAAAAAACATCAAAATGAATAAGTAATAGGCTATTTTCTACCCTAGTTTTGAGCCTAGCTCAAAAACGCTCGGTTTTTATGGGCGTCTCGCATTGAAGACTTGGAAGTACACGCCCACTGCTGTGAGTGGATAACAGTTTTGCATATTATAATGAGTTTCGTGTAATGCGTGAATCGGTGGGCGGGGCTAAACCATCCATGTTGAAGTAGGCGTTGATCTTCTTCTGCGGGGGTGGTGTTTTATCCTCTTTGTCGTCATAGTTCCCCACTTTGAAAAACGAGTCGTTTGCTGAGCCTGGTGTCAATAAAAGCTTTTATTGGACTAACAAGGATGTTTTCAGTTCTGAAACTTACAGGATATTCTTATAATATGATGACCTCTTAGATGTCAAAAGCTCAAGGAAAATTTGATTTCTCAGTTCATCACCCCTTTAAGAATTGTGCTCATTATTTTAATCTAAAAGTCAAGGGTTTTCATTATAATGGCTTTGATTTATATTAATGTACATAATATAAATATATTACATAAAGGCATGTAAATACATGATATATGCACACAATCATCTATAGTTTAAACTAGTTTAATAATAGAGTGGTGTAGGAATGACATCACTTTGTAGACCAAAACGCGGAAACGAGTTAGCACTTCCGGTTCTATCGTTCCGAAGACAATGGTTTTTTTGAATGGGATTTTGGATAATAGCTGAAATGAGGTCTATGGTTAACACAGGCTCAAGATACTTTTACGTTTTATTCTATGACATAAAAGACATTAGTATTACCCCACTCGTGATTTTTTTTAAGCTGTTACATGTCTTGAAAGAGGCAGTTGCCTAAAGTGGCAAGTGGCTAAATGGGACTACAGAAACAGTAAACTCAGTCCGCTTTTACAGCCTCGTTATGCTTATAATTGTGCTCTTATAAACATTTCTAACTGAAACGTTCTGAGAAAATGTTTTAGGTAAAAAATGAAAGAGTTCTGTAGTTCGTTTATAGCCTACCTTTAGCTTTTCACTTCTGACGACTGCATTTAGGCTTCAAAATTCATAAAATTTGTGTTCATCTGTGAAAATTATCTTGATTGACAAAACGTGTATGTATCATAAACTTTTGTTGACCACAAAGCTTGTTTTTTTGTGATAATCCAAAAGCCTATGGCGTGTGATGCTAACTGCCGATTGGCCTATAAAGTGACGTCATACCTTTACCACTCTATAATACAGAGAGTAGAAGCATCATATAAATTATGATATATTTTTAAGAAAATATGAGAAATTGAGATAATACCATCTGGCACTTTTCTGTGAGAAAACAACAACAGCAACATAGGACCTCTGATTTACTCTCAATATAAAGACTGTCTTAACATCAAATCAGATATTAATCTAAATTTCAGGGGTAGAATTCTTTTGTCTCAACATTAAAATTTACGACCACATTTTTTTTGATTTAGCACCATTGAAATTACTCCCCTCCATAACAACAAAAGACATTATAGTCATTTTTAAAATATAATACAGTCCTGGTCAGAATTATTGACACCCTTAGTAAGCAAAGAATGCTGTTGCATTGTTTATCCTTTTGATCTGTCATTTAAAAATTCACAAAAATCTAACCTTTCATTGAAGCAAAAAAAATTTCTCCAATACACGTTGGCCACAAATTTTGGCGCCCTTTTATTCAACCCTTTTTGCAGTCTCGGGCAGTCTTTGCATTCGGTTGTCAATTCACCTTTTAGGTGATTAATCCTGTTCTGTACACACACATTTCAGTAATTTATGGGAGTGACAACTGCACTCTAAGACCAAATTAACTCCCGAAAAAAGAAGGTAGTGACAACCGCAGTTACAAAAATTCTACGCAGTGTACAGAACCAAAATAAAACAATTAGTTGTTAATGACATAAAATGAGAGATATGACAGATGAGAGATACATCTCTGATGCCCATTTCTATGTGCAGTGCAAGAAATCACATGGAAAACGGTACAAGCCTGACTCACTTTAATAACTCCATAAACTCGATTGCTGCATGAGCCAAGCTTAAACAGTGGACATGGCAACACTGTGAGCACGCTCTGTGAAGAAGCCTTTAAGCAGAAACAAAACATTACGCATCCATCGATTTTGCTTTAGTTAAAATTGCTTTACTTTAAATTGAAAACTCCTGAAACTTTACAGTGTGTATGCGGCCTGAACCTCTTCCAATAATGCCTGATGAACACCTAGCAAGAGATCTCCATACAGAATCTCACCAGAGCCTTCAAAATCGGAGGTCCATGTTGGTGAACTCACCCCTTCAGTTCATCCCACTAATTTTCTATAGGGTTCAGGTCAGGGGACTGAGATAGCCATGGCAGAAGCTTCATTTTCAGTGACCCATGTTTGTTTATTTTGATGTTTTTGATCACATTCATGACAAAAGATGCAACCACGGCCCATTATAAGATATATAGCAGATTTATAGCAGAGTCAAGTTTTGATTTTTAGGGCACAAGCCCTAGGGGGAACCACACCCCCTTGAATGCTGTCCAAAAACTTGGCCCATAGGCTTATACAGTATCATACACACTTGCACGTATACATGTATGAAATTTGGTTTGAATGGTGATTTTTGGAAAAATCAGGCTCTGAACTACTACTCCAAGGGGATTCAGGCGACCGCAACAAACCCTCAACATGTTGACAAGACATTGAAGATGGTAAATTGAGAAACAGGTATTGGATGTATCAAACGGTGTTGCCATGGTGAGAAATTAAAGGTATGGTAGGCAATTCCAGAGAGGCTAGCAATAGCAAGCTAGCTTTGAAAGCATGAGATCCTAACATTACAATAATAATGGATGTAAACAACTTACAGAACTCTGACTTGTACCACCTGACTGCTGCAGATCATTTCGGCGTTGATTGTGTTGACATAGAAAACGCATAAATCTGACTGAGGACATGAACAGCTCCAGGTAGAACGTCACGGGTTGCCATCTAGTAATTACAGTTATGACATGGCATGAACACAGCATAAGCTTGTTGTTTTGGTTCAGGACTCAGTGACTGTGTCTACAACTCTGCATAGCCTTACGGAATGTGCTGATGACGTGTGATGTTTGCATGAGCAGGGTGCGTGGAGGTATGGAAAATACATATGTTTGCATATGCAAATACATATGCAATGATTGGTAGTAAATTTTTTGGTCCGGAAACTTCCACAGAAGATAAATGCAGATGTTTTAATATTTAGATCACTTCTATTATTGATTGCTAACAGGATGTAGTAGTAGTAGTAGTCGTAGTAGTAGCCTTTATTGTCACTTAGTCACAACAAGTACCAGTGAAATTAGCCATTACAATATGACAAGGGGGTAGACAGGACAGGAAGACAGGGCATTGAGGAAGAAAATACAGCATAACATGAGAGGTGAGGAGGAAAAAAAAAGGCAACCCTTTTAACCCCCAGACTATACAGTTTGGGAACAGTAAAAAAACACCTCAGCAACATTAGCACATAATCGGAACACTCTACAACATGAACACACAAGACTTGCAACAGGGGAGGGGAGTGGGGGATGGAGGTAACCCAGCACAGGCAGGCAGCCATCCGGTCCTGCAGCCATTCTCGGCGCTGGTCACAGACCCGCCTGTCAGACTGGTGGTACCGTTGAAGGCGAGGGATGGGGGGGGGTGATTGCATATGTGTATATATGTAAGAGTTCGTGTATGTGTAGGCCTGGCGAGTCGCTATGTCTCTATGCGATATCTTCAATGTCCTCCACGGAAAGAGCCGCCAGACACACGACCCGCCACCTCTCCCACGCGTCCATCGTGTAGCCAGCTGCGAACGTTCCGGCAGGGCAGTCAGGTTCCCCCGAACCCAAGCTTCTCGTCGAGAAGATGGTGTCAATTGTGTTGAGAGACCAGTTGATCAAATCCATAATTTCTTAGTTTGGAGAGCAGTGCGGAGAGAGTCTCTCAAAGTACAAGACAGTAGACTAAACGAGACAAGAGGAGCAAAGCAGGGGAGGTAATGGAGAGGAGGGGAAGAAAATGCGACCGCCTTCGTTGAAAGCCAAAGTAGAAGTAGGATGTGAAGAGTTTCAACCAGTATAACAAAAAGTGTTTATAAAACAAACTGCCTACCCTACCGCTAAAGTAATGCCAAAAAAGGGACACAGGAAGTGTCTCAATTCTTCTAAACAATAAATTATACACCATTTATTTCTATATAAAATAAAACAAAAACTAGGGAAAAAAAGAATCTATTTATTTGCAGCATATGCAGCATTGTCTAAAGAAAATAAACAATATGTTTTCTTTCTTTGGTTTTCAGGTTTGACCAATTATAATAAGACTTAAATGACTATGGCTGCCATGCACTATGATGCTTTTTAATGAATAAAGAGAAAATTAATTTAATTTTAAATATTTAATTATATTGTTTTTTTTATGAAAAAATAAATAAAATAGTGATAGTGAATAGGTTCAACATATAAATTAGACTTGAATTGACTGCTTTGTAGGCTTTCTGCGATAGTCAGTGTTACCGGTGTTCAGCCGCAACACCAGTTACATCCTGATGTACTTGTTACATCATAAGAAGGATGGCGTCTACGATAATATTAGTCTCTCTGTTTATCCGAGGTTTACCACAGTCCGCCGGTTCCAGGCCGTATCCAAGCCGTATCCAGATCT